TGCTGAACGAGTGTGGCGTTTTCTAGCTGCTTGTGGGATGAGGAGGGCTCATTCTGTATCTCTTTCGGAGCTACTCACAAGCTTTTGAACGTAGCAGCAAAAACAAACAGTGGTCTGCTAACCTTCCTCACGCTGTAGTTTGGCAGAGTTCCCTAGGGCACTGGGAGTTATGCTTTCAGGCAGGGTGGCACGGTTTTGTTGGTAGTGATTGTACTGTGCTCTGAACGTGTGAACTGTGCATGCTAGGGAAGTTTTGTGAGATAGGTTTCTGAGGAATCTTGCTCAGGCTTTCCTGATTCAGTAGCATCCTGCCATAAATGAACAGGCAAATAGGTTTTCAAATACGTCATCCTGACAGGAGTACCTGTTCTTCTGGGACAGCCAGGCTGGGGCTTGCCATCTTATTTCAGACTAGCTATGTGTGCTGGTATGTAGGAATGATCTATAGCCACAATTTAATGAGTAACAAGTAGTCTTCCTAGGGGTAAGTCTGTGTCTATCCTAGCAGTTACCTTGCCTTACCGTCTCCCTTTAGTTTTTGTCTCTCCTTCCTTCCAGGAGTCAGATGGCGGCTTGTATATCTGCATGAACACGTTCCTGGGTTTTGGGAAGCAGTATGTGGAAAAGCACTATCAGAAAACAGGCCAGCGGGTCTACCTGCACCTCAAAAGAACACGTAAACCGGTAAAAAATAAATATACGTCCAGTCAAACTTCTGAAATTGAGAGCTTCAGTATGTCTCTGTATTCAATCAGATACAGCATTTTCTTTCCTCAAATAGAACTGATATAACTGTTTTTCTTGGTGAACTGAGGTGCACCAGTTCTTCAGCTCTGCTTATGCTGAATTGTTGTATGGGTTGCCCGTGCTATTTCCGCCTCTTTCTGTTTTCAGGGTAGCTTAATTTCAGTCTTTATGGCTTGCCACACTGTGCCTCTCCTCCTAACTCTATTTCCATGTTTCTTCTCAATGAAATAGAAGGAAGAAGACACCAACACCAGTGCTGGGGATCCCCCAAGGAAGAAACCAACTCGCTTGGCTATCGGTAAGAAAGCACTTGTGTATGAGGTCATCCTTGTTGTTTTGAACCAATCCTTTGGAGCTGTGTGGCTTCATGGCACGTCGCTTTTGCCTTTCCTCTTCTGCGCTAGTTGAAGTATACCTGACCGAATTCAAACTTTACTATTCTAGTGTGTTTTAGGTGCGCAGTTTCTGCAAAACAGTTGTTGAGGTGGTAGTTTTGTGCTGTGTTCAAAGCTGCATCATGTTTTCTGTAGATAAATGTTTTGCATCCTCTCTTAACTCTCTGTGCCCGACTCAGCTTGGTGTAGGTATAACCAGTGTGGGGCTGTTGCTCAATATGAATGTGTGGGGCTGGAGTAAGTTTCAGAAAATGTGTAAGTCTGAGAAAAGTAAGTTTGAAGTTTCTGGTAGAAAAACTATTCTTTAAACTGCTCAGATATTGAACTAGTTTTATTTGTATAGATGGGGAAGAAATTACTGGTAAATATTGTATTAACATTTTGGGCTTGATAGTTCTTTGAAATACAAGGCTGATACTGGAGGAAATATATGTGAACATTAAAATATGAAAACCAAGCCCTTTTTTTGGAAGAACAGGGCTGGTATTCCATTATTTTCTTGCACCGACTGGAAAGGCTGTCATGGAAATCAATGAACATGCTGCTTATTTGGAGCAGTCTCAGCTAGTAATTTCTGAACCATTATGGAGAACGAGAAAGCAGAGGATTGGAACATTTTTAGTGGTAACAAGTTCTTGGCTTGCTGGGAGCTGACCGCTAGAGGGAAATCCAGAACCTGGACCGTGCACGTCTTGCTTCTTGCTCACTTTTTCCCTGGCTGTGCCATTGTGTAGCAGACATCTGGTGACTTCACTGCTGCCACAGCGCAAACACCAACACTAACACTTTCAGCTGCTCCCTGTTTTTATAGGGAGGTGAATGAAGTCCCAAAGGTCACTTCTAGCAAAATTGAGACTAGAATCTACGTTACTTCAGATAGCCAGTGTTTTTATGTATATGATTTTGCTGCTTTTTGAGAGATGAGGCCCATCTCATCACTTGCAATACGAGTTATTTCTGCATCTTCAGTTCTACAAAGGTCTTGAGTCAAGTGTTGTCCCTGGGTCAGCAAATAGCTGCCTGTGATAACTGCTTGGTGGTGTGAATGGAGCAGGCGAGAATAAAAGACACTGTGATTGAGGCAGTG